ACGGAGAGCCCTTCCCTCATTGTCATGGTGTGGGGTCTCCTGGGGTGGCTTCTGTCCTCCTGGATCCCTATAGCCAAGTGCCAGGTGAGTGTTTTTCTGAAGGCCTGGCCCCTTTGGTGACAGTACCCAACTGGCCTGGGCCTCATCCCCAGTGACCTTGGGCCCCTCTAATACCACTTACGATTTCGATCGCCTCTGAAGGACTGCCCAAGGCCATGGCCTCCAGCTCCTTCTGGGAGGACTTCTCTGGCACCTGCAAGTGTGGCTCTTGGTTGGAGGCCAGCCCTCGCACAACAGGATGCTGGATTTTGGCTGTGGCATTCACCAGGGCTTCGGTCTCCTCAAAACTTGACCTGAGGAAGCAAAGGGCACCTTTAGAGTCTTCTCTTTGGAAATTCTGCTGAAATCAACCAGGATGTGCCAACCAAGTCAATACCTCCAGGGATCCTGGACTTCCAGCCTACATTCCCAGAGGGATACGGGCCAGGGCTTTGGTGGCCATGCAGCCCCTAGGCTGGGCAGTCAAGAGGGAAGAGATGGTCCAGCCCCACCCCACGGCCCACTGACAAGGGACGGGCAAAAGCCCAGATGCCACTGGCCGAGGGGCACGCAGTCTGGAGTGAGAAAAGTCAGGGGCCTGGTTGTGTACTCTGGGGAAGTAACTGGCTACCGTGCCTCAGTTTCCTTTTCTGTAAGATGAAGACAACATACCTCTGTGTAAAGATTAAATGAGATGCAGCCCACAGGTAAAGCACTGAACATGGTGGGCTTCTGTCATACAGGGCCACCACCGCTGTTGTAGTAACATCACCATCACCCTGGGCAGATTCTGGCCTGCAGGGTCCCCAGTAAGTCTGAGAAATCAAAGCAAGTGCTTCACTGTTGCTCAGCAAAAGAGGCAGGTGGACACAGATGGGCAGGTCCAAATCTTAGATCAATGCTCCTCGCTTACCAATCAAACATCACACAGCTCAGAACATCAACCCCGATGAATCCAAATATTAACACCTATATTAATAATATGTGTTTATTGGACACTTTACATGCTTTCCATACAGCATGTCTCCGGAAGACAGGCACCCTGTCACCATCGCACAGTTGGGGGGATGCTCTGGAAGACAGATCGCCTCCTTTCATGTTCATGAAATCCCTACGAGGACAGTTTTATTATTACTCTCACTTCTCACTCAAGGAAACTGAGGCACAGGAGGGTCAAGTAACTCACATTAGGCCACACAATCTGAAAGGGGTGGAGCGGAGATTCAGGCTCTGAATGCTGTGCCACGCTCCCCCCACCAGATAAATGATTGAATAAAGTTTTGTGATGAGGGTGTGATGAGATGACTTTAACACAGCCAGCTGTTAAAGGCTTTTGCCTTAGTCCAAGGGGGCCCTCAGGAATAAAACTGAGGCATCTGTGTCTGTGTGGACAATCAGAGAGACTGAGATGTGGGCTTCCCAAACACATGCAAACGAAACGAAGTCAGGATAACAGTGTGAAGGTGCTCAGAGACTTTGGGGGTCCATGTACGTCATACCCTGAACATGGCGTCGGGGAGTCCGACATCCGGACAGGAGGAGACTTGATGGGACTCTCCTGAGAAGTGTCGAACATAAGGTACAAGGCCTGCTTCTTCGGGGCGTCATCGTCCTGCTGCAGGGATCAAGGTCACATGTCAGCTTGGACAGCTGGCCTGAACATGCCACTGAGATAAAAACCAGAACGTTCTTCAACAGGGAACAAATAAACTCATCAGGGAAAAGCTTTTGTTTTCTGGAGCCTCCAGGAAGAGAGGAGAAAGAGGGGGCTGGCTGGAGGGGGACGGGGGAGGCCAGGAGGGAAGAAGACGGAGGAGAGGACACAACTGGGTGCAGGTGGGAACATGCGCCAGGGAGGTGGCGTGCTGGACGATCCACCCACAGCACACCGGCCACCGAGCATAATGAGAGGCCAAGGCAAGATCCAGTCCACGGTAGCCTGTGGTTGAACGGGGGAGACCAGCACGATGACCCACAGTGACAAGCACTGCCACTGAGGCATGGAGAAGAGAGACAGAGCAACAAGCTCGCCCTGGGAGGACAAGGACTTCTCCCGGTGGACACGGCAGAAAGGCGCGGGCAGAGGGCGTGGCGCGGGCAGAGGCTCAGAACCGTGAGCCCAGCCCAGGTCCAGGGAACAGCTCAGCTGGCCAAGTACACGGGAGGGCTACATGCAGCTGAGGCGAGGAGGCAAGTGGCCACGCCCAGGAAATGGAGACTGGCATCTGGTCCAGATGGGAAGACCTTGAATGACTCCTACACATGCCCTGTCGGGGTCCCCAAAGCCCCTGCCACAGCCAGCTGGCTCGCTGCTCTGCACTGCCATGAAATCTCTGGGAGGTTCTGCGACACCTGGGCCGGGCACACTCTTCACAAAACATATCCACGAGGCCTGCCAATGTGCCAGTCAGTGGACAGTGAACAAGGGGAAGGGGCCCCTGAGGTTTCAGTCCATTTAAATCCATGCTATTAAGACACACGAGTGCTCCACTTCAGTGGCAAAATGTCTCACCCTCAGTATCACATATGTGGCCTCAGCTATCAGGGACAGACCTGCGACCCAGCAGTAAGCAAACACTCTGAGCAATGCGCCGAGAGGTGACGACAGAGCCCGTGCACTTTACTCAGGGAGCTGTGACTTTACTGACTTGGCACTTAAGTCTGCCTAGGGGTACGTTCTCCTGCCCAACCTTCAGGTCTACCTGCGACCCAGCAGTAAGCAAACACTCTGAGCAATGCGCCGAGAGGTGACGACAGAGCCCGTGCACTTTACTCAGGTAGCTGTGAATTTACTGACTTGGCACTTAAGTCTGCCTAGGGGTACGTTCTCCTGCCCAACCTTCAGGTCTAACTTACGGCAAGCTGCAGTTTAGAAGCAGCAACGCCAGCATCTACAAACCATGCCAAAAAAGATAAGAGAGGAGCAACACGTTCGGGGCCACTGACTGTCACAAGCAAGCCCTCCTGTGCACCCCCATGTCTCCGAGAGCCTCGCTGGACAACAGCTCAGCAAGGGGTTCTGCTCAGAACAAAATGCCCCAGGACAGGAGACAACGTTAAGCTGGGGAAGACAGCTGCCCACCATGCCACTCAAACGAAAAGGGAGGGAAAGGCCTACTGCCTGGAGAGACAATAATGCACTTACTTACAACAATTAATCTGTAGAAAACAACAAACAGTGCACCTTCAAAACAACAAAGCCCTCACCTCCTTATTTTAAAGAAATCTCTGACTAGCTCTTTCTCAGTTCAGGGAAATAATTCTGCAGGAAGCCTAACTGCATTTGGTTATTTTCTCCCTGAAAATGAAGTGGACTGAGTACACACCCCAAGCCCCTCAGCCCAGTCCACCATCACGATGCCCCCAGGATGCTGTGTGCAGAGGTAGCTCCATTTGGGGTCTGAGCTACCAGAGGTGCTCTGCACAGGGGAGGAGGCCCCTGCCTGCATTTTTGCAACAGAGGACAGGGCAGGAAAGGAGTCCCCTGACTGCCCCAACACAGAAGAACTTACAGGTAAGGAGGAGCCAATTTTTTCCATGTATTCGATTTCATAGGAGTTTCTGTAATCCAGCTCTGCAAAAGACACAAAAAGTGAGGTTAGTGCCAGAGAGGAAAAAATGAAACAATTTGGGCTGGGCAGGGTAAGGCCTAGAACAGGGCTCTGAGCTTTCTGAGAACGCCCACCGACTAGAGACTTCTGGCAGCAAAAAGGGGAGGCTCAGCTCAGCTATTTTCAGGCAATGGGGTAAACTTCTCAATGCAGAGGGGCTCCTGCCTTTAGGGAGTCTGAGAGAGTCTCAAGGAAATTCAGCGGCATGACCAAGCACAGGTTTGACTGTCGGCAGATCTGAGCACTCAAGCTTTCAGATTAGAGTATGTACATTTTAGTGTTGGTTTTTGCTGTAATTCTCATGTGTCACATGTGTGGTGACATATCCTGATGATATTTTGGAAAGGACCCATGCTTGTCCCGCTCTGAGAATCCTGCCCCAGTCACATTGAAGCAGAAGAAGGAGACGTTCCTTTAGCGCTGCTCATAAGAGAAGCTCCACGAGTCACCTGAGTATCTCCCAAAATTTGACCAGTGCCCACGGGACCAGTCCAAATCAAATTTTCAAATGCAAAGACTAGTAAAACTTAAAGTCCAAGTAGGTGGAGAAATGACCTATTGCAAACTGATTGGTGACTTTAGGCTGCAAAGAAAATTCCAGACACTCACCAGAGACTAGACCTGCTCAGAAATCAGTAGCAATCCATAAAGCTCAATGCTGCAATTTTTTTAGATTGAAATAAATAAAAATAGCAGTGCCGGTTTAAAACCCTTTTATTTCTGCGTATTGCTGAAAGCATCACTGAAAAAATGATTCTTTAATATGAGCTTTAAAATGCGAGATTTCCTGAAAGACTTTCTTAAAACCTGCAAGCCTGGATGGTTATGGCTGAACAGACTCAAGCACTGCAACACGTGGACTACTTTTCAGGGATGTCTGGGTCTCCCTGGTGAAGCAAACACATCCTTCTAGTAGGCAAAGCCTCCTCATGGGCTTGATGTGTGGATTTCTGACTCCTTGCATCCTGAACGTCCACACTGTGAGTGGTGCATCACCCAGAAAGCAAAGACTGGAGCACAAAACACACGCTGTTGGGCTGCAGTTCAGAAAATGCAGCTCCACCTGTCCCATGAGCCTGTACCCTGGGGTCTGCCCCAACTTAAGACACAGAAGCATTAATTTATAAAGACTACATGTCCTCATCTTAATTGAGAAGTAAGCAGGGGACAGTGATAGGAAAGGTGACTTCTAGTTCCTCTTCCAGATCTATCACTTTTCAGGTGTAGGGCCCCAGAACTATCATTTTATTTCTCTACTATAGACTGTTTAAGTTCAGAAGATAATAGTAAATCAGCTGCTTCTTCCAAGGCATCACTATAACTGCCAAGGCATTATATAACCCTAAGTTATTTAACAGAAATCTCCCAGTATACCCCAAAACACCAAAGAGCACCCATGATGCCCCAAACAAGCAAGGCACCACCAGCTGAGGACCCAGCTCTGGCTGCCAGCTCCCCTCAATAGTGCACCCCACCTGGAACCTCATCTCGCTTCCTGGCAGCTGAACCTGGGTGAGTTCCAGGCCACTGAACTCACTTATCTGCCTTTCCTCCTACCTGCCAAGAAGGTGTCCCTTCCCACTGCTCCGGGTCCTGTGTTCCTCCCTTCAGAAGCAGCAAACGTGTCACCGAGCCAGTGGGTGCTTTACTATGGTTTCCTACAGAATTTGTAGTATAATGAATAGGTGTTCAAATAGTCATTGCTGCTTCTAACCCGACATTTCATTTTCCCATGGTTGGTGCCTTCAGTGTGAGAAAGTCCCGGTACAAAAGTGGAGCTCTCTGACCCCCAACGCAATCTCTGCATCTGTAACATGCCCGGCTCCGAGAGGCCCCTGCTCTACACGGGAACTTCAATCTCAGGTGAGTGACACACCTGGAAGTGCTCCTTCAGAATGCACTCTGCCACTTCCAGTCACAGCTGTGTGGGGTCCTCAGTTATAATTTACACAATGGCCGTGACAGGATGTAAGAAAAATAAGTGCTGCTTCCTGTCATCTTGGGTGGTCTCCAATACATCAAGGTGTTTGAAATCTCATTCATCTGCTTTAAAATCCAAGCCTCAAAGGGGAGGTGTGGGTGTGCAGCCACGTCCAATTTTACCCCCATTTTCACAACATGCCACACGCAGCTGGCAGGCCAGGAAGGGTACCAGCAGTCGTACCAAGTCGCACACCTTCAAAAGTGAAGGCCACTTGCTAAAGCATGTGCCTGCTTCAAGCTGAAGAGGCCCAAAGGTATTCATGGGTCCTGGCATATCTGAGGACAGCTTGAGGTAATTATTTCATATTGGGGCATTGCACAGCAAGAGGGCTTGACTGCTCTTTTCATCTGACTCTAACTGCTACAGCTTTGCTGGAGGACTAGAAAGAGCCCCATGCAGAAGCCAGAAGAATGCAGCTGAGTCCAGGCCTTCCTTCCCAGCATCAGGAGAGCCAACTCACCTGGATTCTCCATGCCTATTGGCTTATCTATAAAAGGGAGCTCAAAGTGGCCACATTTTGCAGAATAAAATGAAATACTGTAAGACAAAGGCCCTACAATGGGTTATACAAATATAAGGGATTGTGATCAGACACATTATTACTCATTGCTAGTATTTCTAGAACTTTTAACAAAAGTGATGTGATGTTAAGAGGAAGAAAAGAACCCTGTGGAAAGGGACAAGGAGGCTGCTCCCAGTGTCCTTACTGTCTCCCTTCTAAATGTCTGCAGTGTGACAGTGATGGTGCCCACCATTAAAGAATGGATTGGGCACCTGCAGAGGCCTCTTCTCTTTGCTGGATGTAGGAAGGAGAGGTGAGTGTAGCTATGTTAAGGGAGACAGGAGAACTGGGTGAGCACCAAGGAGCCACCCAGACTAGTGAATTTAAAGAACTGATCTCTCGGGGTCTCCTGGACCAGAGGAAGGAGGATCTCAGAGGCTGTGTATCCCAGTGGTTTCTAACATTTCCATCCCTAGGGACCACAAGGATTAGGTTTTCTCTACAGCACCATGTTTTAAAAGATTACACCAGAAAAGCACATTTAGTAAGCAAGTGTGCAAAGAAAACAGGTCATAATTGTCAACCTGAGTTTTTAATCCGTGGGAGATTATCCACGCCACCATGGTGAGTTAATGTCATTACAGCCCAAACGTGGCGTTTTAATCACCTGCACTTCTTTCTAAACTAGTTCCACTCAGTTTTTTTGAAATATTAGTGATAACCTGAAGCTCTTCAACACTGCTCTTGGGGACCCAGGTAGAAAAGTGTTGTTGGTTCAACACCTTCATTCTATAGATGAGGGCAAGAATCCTGTTCCATGCACACATCAGCAGCACAGCAGGAAAGAGCACAGCTGTTAAGTCAGGCAAACCTGGTTCTCCGTGAATTAGCCCTGCAACATAGGGCAAGTCACTTAACAGTTCCCAGTCTGTTTCCTTGTTCTCGCACACATCAGCAGCACAGCAGGAAAGAGCACAGCTGTTAAGTCAGGCAAACCTGGTTCTCTGTGAATTAGCCCTGCAACATAGGGCAAGTCACTTAACAGTTCCCAGTCTGTTTCCTTGTTCTTAAAATGGGAAATTGAAGAAATTCATTATGCAGAGCTGGGAGGATGAAATGAAATCGTGTATGTAAAAGACTCAGCACAGCTCAAAGTGCTCAACCAACGACAGTTTCTGCTTTATTATTACCTATAGAATTCATAATACAGTGAACAGGTGTTCAAACAGTCATTACTGTTTCTAAAGCAACATTTCATTTCCCTGTGGTTGGTGACTGCAGTCCAAGAAAGTCTCAGCTCACAGCTGCGGCAACGCACAGACTCATTCTAATGATCACATCAGCACCCCGGGGTGCATGTCTGGTGTTGCTGGACTTGACCTCATCCAATTAACAGGAAGGGCGATTGGATAAGAGGGCTCTGCATCCAGTTTCTGGAGAGAGCCAGGGTACATCAGGGAGGTGGCTACAGCAGAGTCTGCACCTCCTGGAATTGCAACCGCATCTCTTCACATTGATGACAGATTTGCAGCTAAAATTATAGTCGTGACTTCCCAAACCTTCACAATCATTTTCTGAGGGAGATTTAACAGAGTTTTGTTCCAATCTTATATATTTACCTATTTGTTGAATTTTTGTAGAAACAATTGTCAAATGTGTTACTGAGCTAGTGAGTCGTCTGTTTTCATACAATGTTAAAGACAAACAGATATAACCATTACCACTGAATGAGGCACCTATTAGCTTAAAAAGTACCATTGGGATTTTTAGATTTTTCTAAGAAAAAATGCATGTATTGATTTCTGATGATAACATCAAACACACACACACCCCAAAGTCATATACCTTTTGATTTTTATCTACAATGCCAAGCTCAGGCTGGTTTCTAAATGTTTTTCTCTGACATTTAGAATCAAGCTCAAGAGATGTGAACCAGCAGAAATCCACGGGTTATCAAAATGGCCAATCCGATGCTAGTGCTCAAGTGTCCCTTGCTGCTCCTGGCATGTAAACCCCCTGCGACCCCCCTCATGCAAGTGATGCCTGCTGCAAAGATCAAATTGACTGAGTTGACACTAACTAAGCTGGTTACCTGCCTGCCCTTGTACTTCCTTATCTCACAAACCTGTCTTTAGCCCCTCCATGTTCCTGGGGCTGTGGGGGACACAAAGATGAACCAGAGTTCTCGCCTCCAGGAAACACACAATCTCATGGAGAAGCAGGAAGTGCGTATATATCATCATCAAGGTGCTCAGTGCCTCCAGCTCGGCCCAGACCAAGCACTAAGGTAAGCAGCGTGGGGAGGGAAGTCCAGGGAAGGACTGAGCCAGGCAGGACAAGACAGGCAAGGCTGGGAAACAAGGAGTGGGGTGGGGACAGCAGCAGCCCCTGCAGAGGCAGCTGAGTGAGGGGCGTCCCAGGGGACAGTGATTCCAGCCGGGTGAGGCTCGTGGCTCAGGAGTGGACGCAGATGAAAATGAGGATTGGAGGGAGGTCCAGGCCAGGTCTGGGGGCCTCTGGCATCAGGTTAGAGGGAGATGGTCACTTTTAAGCCACCCGAACCCCAAGCCAGAGGGCCAACATGACAGTCAACCAAAACGTTCTATTTTGAAAAAAATAAAATAAAATGCCAAAAATTTGAAGTATGTATCATTTGGATTTTTTCATTGTCAAACTTAGAAAGGCAGCTTTATGTAGTAAAAAGATAAGGTTCTATTTTGAAAAAAATAAAATAAAATGCCAAAAATTTGAAGTATATATCATTTGGATTTTTTCATTGTCAAACTTAGAAAGGCAGCTTTATGTAGTAAAAAGATAAGCATCCAAAATTCTGAAGAACATGGGCTGAGCCCGTGGCGCACTCGGGAGAGTGCGGCGCTGGGAGCGCAGCAGTGCTCCCGCTGCGGGTTCGGATCCTATATGGGGATGACCGGTGCGCTCGCTGGCTGAGCGTGGTGCAGCCGGTCTCAAAATGGACAAAAAAAAAATCTGAAGAACATGAAATAGATCTCACCATAACTCAGTACTGGTACCATTCTGAGATCTCACGGGCATAAAGCAAACCACTGAGAGAGGCCTGACCAGGGTACAGCCTCCAGAGAAGTGTCTGAGTTTGATTTACAATTGAAAACTACCCATACCCCCGTTACACCACCACCCCTGGCCCAGCCCGGGCAGGGAGGTCATCTAATGGAGGTCTTGGTTTCTCATTAGCAGCAAAGCAAAGACAAGGCTTTTGAGTGACCTTCTTTCAAAAAATTGTTAGAAATCAAGATCTTGGAAAGGGAAACTCAAAACCATCACAAAAGCCAGAGTGTTGAAATGCTGGTCCAATACTAGAGTCAGCAGCCTCACAGAGGGGGTCAGTGGAGGACCGTGAACATGGCACCATCAGGTCAGGGAAAGTGGATTCTTCCCTCCTCGGCGAGGCTCTAGTGTCTCCCCTATCAGCTCTACTAACAAGAAAGGAAGTATGGAAGCCAACGTGCAGATGCAGAAAAAACAACTGTGGTGGAGTAAGTTTTTTAAAAGTCTTGATTCACGCAGTCATGCTAAGCTGACAAGATGTGTGAATTCTTTCAGCCAAAGAATCACACAGAAAGCTGAAACTGAATGCACACAGGAGGAAGAAAGATATTGACGAAGTAAACAAAGTGCCCGGGCCCACTCCCAGGGAAGGAGTCAGGTCTTGTCAGCAAGCCTGGGGAGAACCTCTGGTTTGGGGCTTGATTAGCAGATATGGCCACATTGTCTGGACATCCTGTAGGGCCTAGGAACAATGGTGGCACCAGGAGACTCCCAGGTAGGTCGCCCTACCCTGAAAGTTTGACCTGAATGACACTTCTGTGGTGTGTTTTTCAAAGTCACAGAAGGGACATAAGCCATACAGCCAAGAATGAGCCAAGCCAGAGCAAGTGCTCAGGATCTAGAACTAAAGGGCACTGCGCTGGCTCGTAGCAGGCATCTCGGGGTAAAGGGATGGCTGGCTTCAAGTCTCAGGCTGTCTTAAAACGCAGCTGTAGCTTCACGTGCAGCGGGAGTCGTGCAGACAATCGCACAGTAATGATATCGTGGTTACCTGGCTCAGAAGTTTCTCTCCTGGCCTTTCGCTCCCTAGGGGCAGTGTTCTCCAAGGCAGGGTGGGGGTCTGGCTGGCCACAGAGCTGCTTACCCTCTGTGGGTGAATTGAATTTGGTCTCATTTACGAAGGTGGACAGGTCCGAGGGCTGCGGGTAGTCCTGTTTGTCAGCCTCCAGATCCACTGTCATGCACGTCCACTTCTGATTGGTGACAGCCAGCTTTTCCTCATCTGTCGCATGGACCACCGCGGAGATCACCGGCGGTGTTTCTGGCGTACCAGCTGGAGTGGGATCCTGCAAGGAAAAGTGAAGCAGTCTCTTGTCTCATTCAGTCTCCCGCTCAGAAACCATGCCCACCCGTGAGTCTGGGGCCCTATTAACCAGGAGAGGTCCCTACCCAAATCCTCCGCATGTTCTTGCCAGACTCTGCTTCAAATGGTCCCTCAAAGAAACATTCTTTCCTCTATGAATCTCCTATTATGATGGTTTGTTTCAGGGAGTGATAATGGGTTTAAAAAAAAAAAAAAAACCAAGATTTTGTGTCTTGTTTACTGCGAGTTTTTTACTACAAAAACTGTGTTAGGCTCATACATTGCTTTAGGCTCGCATGTCAATATCACCTGACGAACCTCATGCCAGTCCCTGGAGGGAGAGAAAGGGGGTGTTATCTCTATGTCCATAGGGGAGTGCAGAGCTGAGCAGATCAGGCTGGGAACCCAGAAATGTGAGGGCAGGGCTATAGCTGGGACCTAAGCCTGCTCCTAGGGCTGGGTGCCTCCCTCCACAGCCCCCACCCTGCCAGGGTGTGCTGGCTGGGTCTTCACTAGCTCAGATATGGAGGGGCGGACAGTTTGCTTGTTTTATGACCCAGAAACAGCCCTGACTGGTATGGCACACATGCTTGAGGAGAACCATCCTTGGTCCATAAACAGGGTAGAAGAAGTGGCATATATTTGGTGGAGGTGCTAGTAAGAGGGAAACAGGAACTTTTATAAAGAAAGAGATCAAGCCCCCGATTTCCTAGAGGACGGGGTTCCTTTATCTTCCCATTCCGGTTGCATAATTCAATGCTCTTGACACACGTTCAGTTTTTTCATCTTCTCACTATGGGTTCACTTATCTCACCAAGCCCCCGATTTCCTAGAGGACGGGGTTCCTTTATCTTCCCATTCCCATTTTGGTTGCATTATTCAATGCTCTTGACACACGTTCAGTTTTTTCATCTTCTCACTATGGGTTCACTTATCTCAAAAGACCCTCCCAACTTAACAGTCATATGAGTTCTCAGCAGATTAACTGGCTAGCATGGACAGGAACAGTTCCTACAGAACCCAATAACATTTTTCCTGACCTTCCCCCTACTCTCAGGACACACTCTGATCTTCCCCAAAGTGAAAGGATCAAAACAATGTCTTGCAAATGAGGAAGGACCTTCTACGTAGGAGGCAAAGAGAAAGTTCCTGCTAAGCAAGAAGGAAAGCTCTGTTGACTTGGGGGCAGGAAAAACACAGCAGCCTCAACTCCCAGGTGAGTTACAAAATCATAAAGATCAAAGGAACATTGTACCTGAGAAGGTGGATCAGAGAGAGGAGACCGTTTTGGCGACTTTTTCACCCTAAATGTGTCACTGGAAACAAAATGGAAAATGTGAACACAACAAACAGAGGTTCAGAACACTCCAGAGCAACACAGAGCAGACTGCAGCCACCACCCCTGCTCAGCTCTCTGGCCCCGACCCCTCCTGTCTACACCCTCCAACACCAGCACAGCGATGTCCATGCCGACCATCCATTGTGACTTTTTAACAGATATTATTTTTGCCCCTAAGGGAAAGATCCATCAAGCTGGAGATCTTTAAAGAGATGCCATTTTGGAGAGCTGACCCAGAAAACAAAGCTAAGTTGAACTAAATGTTCTTATTTTATAAAGCAAATTTTTGATGAGATTAACTTATCTGGATTCTTCCAGGAATGTCTGAGCCAACTAAGGCTGGGAGAGGGGCTCAAGGCTCATGACACCAATGAACAGGATCCGAATTACAGAGGGGCAAGGCGACATGCACTTAATGTACAACTGAGGGCCCCCCCCCCCCTGTGCAGAAACAGGAAGTTCTGGGTCCTCAGGGAAAATGTGCAGAATCTTTCCTGCTCATGGGAACTTCGAGACTAAAGGCAGGGCCAGTGAGTGAAGAGGTGATTTTTCTCACCTGTGCAGAAACAGGAAGTTCTGGGTCCTCAGGGAAAATGTGCAGAATCCTTCCTGCTCATGGGAACTTCGAGACTAAAGGCAGGGCCAGTGAGTGAAGAGGTGATTTTTCTTTTTCTAACAAGAGTAAACAGACCAGATTCACAGCTTTTTCTCTCTTCTTTCTGCTTCATATAAGTAATGGGTGAGGGGGCAAAGGAAACATCAGATCAGACCTCTGAAGGGCCAATGAGGCAGATCTCGGAAGAAAGGGATGACTTTTAGCATAAATGGTTCCGTTAAGTCCACTGGGTGGGTCAGGGGTTCACTTCTGTGGTCAGAATGGCCTCCATGTTACAGACTGGCCCCTGCCCCATGGTCTCTAGCCCTTCCATGGTATGGTCCCACCCCCAGCAAAGCAAGGGCTTTGGGAGTTGGGGGCGGGGGGTTGGTCCCTAATGATAGATCCCACCACCCTCTCCTGCTTTACACATTAACTGGATGCACACAGTGCAATTTGGAGCTCAAGTTCTCTCCTTGTGTTCTCTCAAAAGGCTCCAACAATGGCATTTAATCATGACAAAAGTACTATAAATAGTTATTTACAGCATTTATGGCATTTGCCATAAAAACGGTGCAATCACAGCTTAAAGCATATATTTATTCATGCATATAAATATATAACCATATATTTTATAGTTGCTAAATGGCTTGAAAATACTAAAGAAATCCCTTGGGCAGAAGGGAGCCTGAGACTCCACCCTATCCCGGGGCTGTCGGATGCCTGGAACCAGGTCAGCTTCCCTTCTAAGCACAGGGAGAAGGTGCATGTCTCTGGACCCCTGAGAGCTGCCCACACGATCCCTCCTGGCCAGGAGGCCAGCAGCAGAGGCACCAGGGTGGTCAACTCTGTTTTCACGGACGTCCACAGGGTAACCCACAGGTGAGGCATGTCCTGGGTAATCAAGGACACAGGCCCTAGGCAGCCTGGCAATGGCTCTCAGAGCCGTGTGCTCCACTGAGAGCTGACCCTGCATTTCAGGGCACTCCCACAGGCCTCAATTTGGAATGGCCCAAACATTTTCACTTCACACATCAGCAAGAACAAGCCACGCAGCTGCTGCCGGTGGTTAGACTGGATGGTTATTTTCATGTGAAGCCACGGTACTGTTGAAAGCAATCACCCACTAGCCCAATTTAAAATGAAAAAAATGGAATGAGGAGTGAAAGAAATAAAAGTGTGGTTTTCAGATGAAGACATCCAATATGCAAGAAGAAAAAAAGTTTCCATTCCCATCAAGCAGGCAGATGATGACATTGTCACAGCCAAGCAGTCTCACTTATGCTAATCACCGAGAAACAGAAAAATCATCTCTGCTACTGGGGAGCCCCATGCCCCATCATTCCCAGGCCCGCCACAGAAACATGTCAGCAGCAGCCATGGAGAGCAAATAAAAAGCACTGGAATGCAGAAACAAAAGGCAAAAAAAAGCACGTTTGGCATAAGAGGCAGATTCCATTAAATTTACTTACAACAGAGAACATACAGACATCACATCTTCAACCATCCTAAGACAGGAAGACAAAGAAAAAGAGAGACAGACAGAAGGAACTGACAAAAAAGATAAATCTGCAGACAACTGGTTATTAGCAGGTTAGGATATGGCAGCCGTCTACAGTGGTCTGCTTGGGAGTGCAGGCAACACCCCAGCTTTTAAAAAAGGGGCTGTTGGGGACAGTTCCTCTCTTGGTTCTAATTATCCCACAGAGCATAGGCGCCAAAGAGCTTTGTCAACCCACTGTAGGATCTCCCAAGCCAACAGCCCCATCTGCAGCAGAGGTGAGACACGGGATGGGTTAGCTTCCCCAACCTTAGTTTAGCTCTGCTGATCAAATGAGAAAGTGGCTGTGAACAGAATACACCAGGCCATCTCAGGGAGGCAGGAAGCGACCACAAGCTGACTCTCATTCCAAAGACAAGAGAACATGGCTTTGCCATCTAGACATTTCAGACTTCTATTCCAGGCTTCAAGTTTCCAAACAGAGTCCATGGAGCCACCATAGGAAGGGTCTATCCAGATAAATGATCTAAAAGTCCACATTTCTGGCCAGGATGGTCTCCCTGCCACCATCAGATGGCGGTAGGGGGATCGAAGGACAAAGCCTGCTATAGGGAACCTCTTCTCAGGAAGCCCCAGGTCCTACTCAGATGTTCAATGCTTGGGGAGCCCAGAATGGGAGCTAAACAGATCACCCTGTCTCATTCCCGCCAGGCAGACCCAGAGGGGCCAGCACTGTGGCCTGTTCTGTGTTGCCCATGGGAGACTGGTCTCCTGAGCCTTGTTAAATTATGGACGATACTTCCCAGAGAGCAACAAAATCTCCAAGCAGTGAACCACACTATGCTTGGTCCAGACTCCTAAGAATGGACCTGCAGCCACCTGAGTTAGAGGCAGTCTTTGAACAAATTCCAAAGCATGGACACATAGTATTTAAGGACAATGTACCGGGTATGTGTTTGTGGACAATAGACCCAATTACTACTGGCTTCCTGGGGACTGGAGGGGTGGCTTCCCCCTTTCAGGTTCCACTCACTCTTCTGGACTTATAGGGTTTGGGGACTCTTGTCTATGAAAGATGACTAGAGGGAGGGAAGGAGGCAAAGAGGGGTGTGTCTTACAGGCTGGTTGGGGTACAGGGAGGGTCTCAGGCTACACCCCTCATTCATGGGCCTCCTGGAGCCTCCTAGTGTGTGGGCTAATGTCTCATTAATGGGCAGGAACAAATACTGTAAGTTTTAACAATATTTTGAAGGGCATATCTCCTGGCTTCTTTAAAGAGCAACGCACTTAAAAAGCAATTCGTATGCTAAGCAGGAAAAAGGGAGAGTCAACAGCAGGGAGGTGGACCAGGTCTCTAATGGACTGTTCCCTTCCTCTGGGCTCTCCCAGACTACCTGGAGTTGAATATCAGGTCTTTGGCTAAAAGTAAAACTTTAGACTACAGTCTTATTAAGGCAAGTAATCAAGAACTCTTGACCCCACAGGGGAATGTGGATGGGAAAATGCCACCATTGTAGCCACAGAGAGGAAGGAAAACACATACATGTCCTGCCTGCTTTGCAAACATGGCATCATCTCAGCAATGGGGGCGAGATTAGGGCAGGTGAAGGTTAGCCCGGCACGTGACTAAGGGCCACCGCCCACGCGCACGCCCGCCCCTGGACTTACGTCTTTAGGGGCGTCTTCTTCTTCTTGGCAGGCTTGTTTAGCCCGTCCCCGTCCACTCCATTGGCTTCAGTGGTGCTGGCTGGGATCTCAAAGGAGGCTGGGGATTTAGAAGGTGAGCTGGGGGTCTTAGAGGAAGTCTTAAAGGGGTCAATGGACTCATCACAAGCGTCTGGGTCAAAGCTGTACGACTGTTGGGGCAGTTTGGGAGACTCCTGCATTTTTGAGGTGGAAGAAAAAGGGTTAAAATTGGGGTCATCCCACTTGTCAATATCAAAGGTGTAGGTACCTTTAGCAATAGGGATGTCATTGGGTTCAGCGGGGGATCTGGTGGGTGAGGCAGGGGTGTGGTCAAGCTTCTCTGGTGTCTTTTTCATCTTCGGCCTCCGCAGAGGCATTTTGGCAGCCTGCTTTTTGCCTGTCTTTTTGGTAGGAGGAGGGTTTTCTTGCTGGTTGTCCCAACTACCCTTGTCCTCAGAATAGTCAAACTCCAGCCTCACTGAGAGCCCTTTGGCTGGGGAGTCCTCCTGCCCCCCACTATCTGATGGGGTCACCTCCACCGCCTCCAGGGCCGTGGTAAGAAGCTGCGTTTTCCTCCCAACGGGGGGCGAGTTCTGCACCCTGCCCCCTCCAGATGCTGGGGGGTTGGCCCCTTCTGCACTCTCCGGGTCAGGAAGGCAGGCAGTTTCTACAGGCGTCTCCTCCAGGGAGGCTGGTCCAGAATCTTGTGTCTTGGCCAATTCCGTTTTTGCTGGATTCTCCTCACTCAGGACGGGACTCTCTTCAGCTGGCTCCTGCTCTGTCTCTTTCACCGGGGGGGCTTCTGTGGGTTTCTTAGTGGTCTGTTTCTTTTTTAAGGAAGGTGGCCTTGGTTTTTTAGTTCGCTTGAGGGTGCTGGAAGCACTGCTGGAGCCCGTGCTACAGGTGTCCGGGGCAAGGGACACAGCCTCGGGACTGCCGGAGCAAGAAGCACCATCAAAGTCACCGGCTTGCAGGCTGAGAGACCGGGACAGCGCCGACCTGGAGATGGGCAGGGAATCCGTGGACTTCCTCCGTGAGCTCGCTTTGCACTCCTGGGTCTTAGAGTCTGCAGCACGAGGCTCCAAGGCCTGAAGACTGTCTACCAGCTCGATGCTGTCAAAGTCCAAGTTGTAAGTCCCGCTGCTGGCTATCGGCTTGTCTTCATCGAAGACGGCAGAGAAGGAGTGTGACGGAGGACGGAAAGGACTTCCTTCCACTGAGTCGCTACGTGGGCCATCGGGGATGGGGACTGTCTCAGAACCACATCCTGAGGAAATGGAGACAAAGCTGTCACTGAAGGACACTGACACTTTGGAGCATTTCTCTCCAACTCACTGTCTAGAGCAGAGGCTGACCGTCTGCGTCCCCCAGGCCACCCTGGCCACCCGCTGCTTGGGTACAGATCCTGATCCTACCCATTCTTAGCTCCAGACCCCAGACAGGTTTACTCCCAGTTCCCTCATCTGTTAAACATGAGTGATAAAGGCTGATTAAGGAAGAGCTCAGCTCATTCATTCAAAACACATGCACCAAGTGCCTAATTGGGGCCTGGAGCCATTCTAGGTGCTGGAGATTCAACAATGTAAAATGAACAGACTGTCAGATGGTGACACGTGCTGAGGAGAAAAATAAAGCCAGGACAGGAGAGCTGCAATTTTAAAGTAAGGTAGTCAGGCAAGGTCCTCTAAGAAGACATTTGAACAAAGACTGGAAACCAGGTAAAGGCACGAAGCAGGAGGATTTCTGGGGAGGAAGCATCCATGGCAGAAGAAATGACAGTGCAAAGGCCCTGGGGCAGGAGCACCCCAGGTTGTTACAGAAACAGCAAAGAGGCCATTGTGGCTAGAACAAGGGAAAGGAGAACAGGAAGACAGAAATAATGCAAGCAAAGCCTTCAATAAACAGTAGCTACCATCATCAGGGAGGAACAGTGGGGGGACCCCAGGCACCTGTGGCCGGTGAGCTTGCCTGTTCCCAGAGCAACCTCTCTTCCAGTCCTGCCTGGCTTCCTGTCTATTCTCCTCTCTTGGCTGCTTTCTCCCAACTTTTCTACCTCATCAGCCACTGACGGCCAAGGAGGCTGCTGCTTCTTTTTCAATGTGTTGCGGATGCTTCAAATGCTCTCACAACCCCACTGCTCCATGGGGATCTGGCCAGCCTTGACCTTGGCTTGGCCACTCTGGGCTCCGCTTGCAACAGGCAGCACCTTTCATGCATTTGTGGGTTCACAGTTGTTCCAGGTGGTCAAGCATGCCAGAAAGTGATCTGCCAGAAAGCTAAGTGTCACTGGACAAATGTGGGCAAATGTAGTAAGTGGTCTACAGGCCTAAGTACTGGGAGGATGCAGAGCAAGGAATAAACGAAGCTGGCACAACTATGACTTGGGACAGTGTTCCCAAAGTGTGCTTCACTGCTGGGTGTTATGTGCCCTCCAAACCCCTTCTCTACAGGAACAGCTGTCAGATAAAGTACCGGATGCTCAGTTAAATTTGAATTTCAGGGAAATGAAAGTATTTCAGGGAAATACTTTTTGTATAAGTATGTCCCAAGTCTCAATTATTCATTGTTTGTCTTATTCAAATTCAACTGGGTACCCTGTGTTTTCACTTGGTAAATCTGGCAGCCCTAGCCCTCACCCCAACTAATAAGCAATGTTCGGGAAATGGTTGATTAAACCCACACTGGTCTCCTGTAGATTTCCTCAGAGCGATTCACGCTCACAATTGCAACCCTCCAGGTGGTATGTTGCATGGTGCTTACCAAACTTTGCTCTCAAGCAAACCTTTCTCGGAGTGCTGGGCAGAGAACGCCAGCTGAAGTGGGAGATTATGACACGAGGAAACTTTGACTCTTGAGCTCAGGAACTGGTCTTGTTTATCTCTGTTTCCTCCTTGACTGGTCCCACTTTCTCTTGTAGGTTCAATAAACACCTCTTAAATTGACAGCACCTTCCAGAAGCAGATCTATGAGCCGGTCCTGGTTTTGAACCTTCCCTCTCTCCACCCAGCACCACCCCAGCCCTGCCTGGAGATGTCCTAAGTACAGAGCTCCTGACAAGCTTCCTGGCTCTGCTCTTTCTACTGATTTCTCCATCATCTCCCAAACACTCCCCACTTCATCTCAAAAGAAGAGGTATCCCCTCCCTCCCTCTTTCTAAACTCAACTCCCATTCCCATACTGGCTAGCTGCCAAAGAAATTTTAAAAAAAGAAATAAAATCAACTCCCTCCCTCTTTCCTCCAGGACCAAGTACCCTCAAGCGCCCATCCTCCCACCAGCAGTGACCTCGTTTTCCTGCCCTGTAACTGCCCCAAGACACATAGTGCAGAGGGCACAGAGGACCAGGGGATGCTGAAGAGAACCAGGTACTTTCAAATGGGCCTTGGCAGGAGGGTGTTGGAAAAGTAAAGGAAAATGGTCAGAGCCCCTCAGATGTTCGGAGTCTTGCCAAGCATTTGCTGTAAATATCCTCAGGTGTTCTTTGTGACTAAAAGTAATTGTGTATGGGCACCCAGGTGTCCTGGGTTATGACTTGAGTATAAAGGACTACCAGCTTTAAAAAGAAAATCAACTCCCTCCCTCTTTCCTCCAGGACCAAGTACCCTCAAACGCCCATCCTCCCACCAGCAGTGACCTCGTTTTCCTGCCCTGTAACTGCCCCTAGACACATAGTACAGAGGACCAGGGGATGCTGAAGAGAACCAGGTACTTTCAAATGGGCCTTGGCAGGAGGGTGTTGGAAAAATAAAGAAAAATGGTCAGAGCCCCTCAGATGTTCGGAGTCTTGCCAAGCATTTGCTGTAAATATCCTCAGGTGTTCCTTGTGACTAAATGTAATTGTGTATGGGCACCCAGGTGTCCTGGGTTATGACTTGAGTATAAAGGACTACCAGCTCTGATCCGCAGTGTGTCTCAGAACTCTCAGAGAAGCCACTAGGACGGCTGCTCCTAGCTCTGAATAAAGCCTGATAATTGTTTACCCACGGCTCCCAGGACCTTTTTCCTATTACCTAGCTTGTAGACCTGTGTGTGGAGGGTTTGTGACCCCATCTGTGCAACAGACTCGAGGGATCTGTGAGCCCTAGCCCTAGCTCTACAAGGGGTAAAGAGCCTCACTGCACTCCAACGTTTCCAAAGCAAGGCCCACAAGTGCCAGCCTTCTCTCTCTCAGGCTGCTACCCGGGGCCTCAGCTGCCTCTGGAAGGAAGCTTTCGGGGGCCTTTCGAATGTCAGTAGTTCTCCCCAAATCAGCAGATATTCAGCTTAACCATCTGCTCACTCTTCCCCAGAAGAAAGAGCTCTCTGCCTGCTTAACATGGCTTCCCCACTTAGAACTGACATTCCCTAATTAAATCATCATGGACCAGGAAACCCAACCTTGCTGCAGGGTTTCTTAACCTCTGCACTATGGACATTTTGGAACAGTTAGTTCTTTGTCATGGAGGGCTCTCCTGTTCATTGTAGGACACTTAGCAGGATCCTTAGCCTCTACCCACCAGATGCCAGTAGCACCCCCCACCCACCCCAGTTGACAACCAAAAATATCTCCAGATATTGTCACGTCCCCTTGGGGGGCAAAATCGCCCCCAGTTGAGAACCACTGTCTTATTGTATGGTTACCACAGCAGGATGCTCCACAGGGCCCATCATATGGCTGGCGGTGGGGGTGCCTTCCAATGGGAAAGGTCACCGCCACATGCAGGCCCTGGTTTTCCAAAGCAAGTGTAGTCCAATTGGGTTCCCAGTCCCCCACCCAGCTGGATTTCTAAATCTCCATACATCATATCTGCATGAAGACCATTCATTCATTCTACAACTAGTCTGGGTGCCTCCTCTATGTCAGCCACTGTGGGGTATGCCATGGACACAGAGGTTGAGGAAGGACAGACCCCAGACCAACTGTCCGTTCAACATGTCCTCCACCTGAGGCATGCCATCAGTGCTGACTGGGCAGTGCCCTCCTGGAGAACAACACCCTACACCCTGGCTCAGTCTTGACAAAAGCAGCGTCCAAGGTTCATCAGATGACGATGCTCACCGGGGGTCTCCCAGCTGCATTAGTCAGCTCGGGATGCCTTAGCCGAGTGCCACGTATTGAGTGGCTTAAACGACAGAAATTCATTGCTCATAGTTCTGGGGACTGGAGGCCCAAGATCAAGGTGTCAGCAGGTTTGGTCTTCTCTGACGCCGCTCTCTCCCTGGCCTGCAGAGGGCCACCTTCTCATGGTGTCCTCACATGGCCTCTCTCCTCTGTGTGCCTACTCTGTGCATCTCTGTGTAGGGACCCATGTGTATGTCCTCATTTAACCTTCGTCACCTCCTTACAGGCCCTATCCACAAATACAGTTGCATTGGGGGTGAGGGCTTCACCATACAGCTTTTGGGGGACATAAGTCAGTCCATAACCTTCGCGCTGGGCAGTAAAATTCCCAAGTTAGGGAAACAGCAAATGTGTTGGAAATAAGAGGGAATCCCGAGGAAAGAGAAAAAGCTAATAATGGGCTACCAATGTCACCCAACCGACGTCACCCTACCTTCTCCAAAGCCACCTTTCCTGGCCTTGCTGGGCTGTTTCTCACGGGCACTCAGTGCCGGCCACACTGGCATTTCCCTCCCTCAATGAGTGCACTCTGGGCAGGGGTCCTCTGGGCCCAGAGGACCAACAGTGTCAACATATGGGCACCCTGGCACTCACAGACTCTTAACCCAACAAATCAAGGGTAAACGGCCTTATACACAGGGAGCACAGCCTCACGTCTTCTGAGTGCAGGATAATAACCCACTGCAACTGGTGTTTACTCTGGGGAAAGGTCTCCATTTTAAGTAGGCTAACGAGATATAAATAGGGCATTTACTCAGTCCTGATGTGACCTTTTTTTGGTGGCTGTGGGCAACTCGGAGCAAGTCCACGATGAAATCAACATTTCCCAAACTTGTCCAGCTTAAGACATGCCTGAGATGCTCACTAAAACCCCAGGCTCCCCACGTGTCCCTCACTCCCTCCAGGGAAAAGCAGTTCAGCAAGGCTGGGGAAGGGCCACGGGGGAGCCTCCTGGTCAGGTGCATCTGGGACCGGGCTGGCTCACCTCACCTGCTTTCTGTCTGGGCCTATCCTCGTTCTCAGAACCAACGTTTTAGCACCTGGCTGCAGGAGTGAGTGGACTTTGACGAGGAGCCTGAATAGGCTTGGATTGGTCTTTGAGGGTGAGCTCCGACTCCCTGTGGGGATCTTGCTTCACAGGCGTGAGGTGTCAGGGCTGCAGAAGGG